TTACCTGGGAGTGTAGCGTAAGAATGAGCTGCTGATTCCAGACGTGATTTTCCAAAGGGCTGCTCTCACCCTGAGGTGGTGGGGTTTTTTTTTATCATAGTTTCTTACACTCGGACTTGAAAAGACTTGGCTTGAATGTTGTCCTAGGATAGTATGTCAGGCAGGAGTGTCATTTTAGTCCTTATGGAACCTTGTCGTTTTAAGTATATATAGTGAAGAGTGGTTCATTTGATGGGGAATTCTTTTTAAAGGGCTCCTTTAAATTGCGTGCAGGAAAAAATCACTGAAGTATGATGTAGTGTAATTTAATGCTGGGTTAAATGATGCAATCCAGTGCGTTTTCATTAGATGTTCTGAGACACTTCTCTAGCCTTTATGCTTTAAAGGCTCTTGGATTGGCAGCTGCAATAACTATTTTGATTGCAGCCTGAGCTGATGGTGGGCATCCTACCAGAAAAATAATGTACTTGTTTTAATTATGACACCTACACTCCAAAATGGAAGCCTGCATCACTGTGCATGATACAGTTGTGCTTGATACAGTGGAATAACATAGTATGCAACACAAGGAAGTGAGCACATTTGTAAAAGGACGAGATCGAGACTGTTCTGGCTGATTGCTTTTTTTCTTTGGACAAAGAGTAGTGTTGAGCTGTGAGTTGAATTTGCTGAGCGAAGGAGTCGGTCTTTGGTGCTTTCCTCCTTTGATTGGCAGATGGGACAAGTTTCCAACAGGGAAGGATTCTGTGGCAGTTGGGAAGATGGGAATGTGTCACAGAGGCAAGATGGCTGGGCTCTGAGGAGTGGAAAGCAGTTGATGTGGACAGCAAACCGAGACCTCACCATATGGTAGAGGTCTTGAGCTTTAGCAGCGGCTGGCACACCAAGCAGCATTGGTGCACGTGATGCTGCAGAGCCCCTGTGAAGTGACAGTGGTTGCACTAGCCACTCACTGGTTCGTGTTGAAATCAGTTCCTGCATAACTGTCCTGTGAAGCTGATCCTGCTGTTCTCCTGCAAATGGGGAGCTACATACCCAGAAGTATCTTGCAATGTTTGTAGTGTACTGGGGTAAAGAAAGAACACAGGTAGTGTAAAGGATTTCTGTATTGGGATTTTTTTTTTTTGGTATCTTGTTTTTGCCGTACTGTGATGCAAGGACAAGCTTATGGAGTGGTATTTCTGGCTCTGGTTTAGCTTAGTTGATCACAATAATAAGAGTTAAGCCAGTGCAAAACATATGGAAACTTTAGCCAGTCAGTGTTAGCCCCAAGCAATTTAAGGGGATAATTGCTCGCTGATCCATTTGGCCAGAGGTACTGAAGAAATGGAAGATGGTTATTGGTGCTGTTATTTCTGCCCTCGTCGTCTTATTATAGCCCTTAATAAGGAATGGTGTTTCCTGCTTTTCTTTCTTGTTAGCATATTTATCTAATTATTGCTACAATGAATAACAGGGATATCGAAATTATTATTTTACGTATGAGGCCGTTTGGGAATGATTTCACGTTCTGTGTGCCCTTGTGTTGATCCCTATGCTTTAGGTTTACCTGAGCTTCAGATTTAGGGAGGAACGTGTGAGTACAGAGTCCCTTGCTGTGTCAGAGCAAGGCAGCGTGTCCTGTCGAGCTTGGCTTTCCCTGGGTCTGGAACGTGAGATGAGCGTGTCCCGTGTGGAGCTGGGTCCTAGGCTGAGCTCTCCCTGATGAAAGTGCTTTGCTTTGTGGTATCTGATACAGAACAGATAGTTTGTAGTGCAATGCAGTTTGCACTGATAAGAGTAATATTGCATGGCCTCCTCTTAACTTGTGCAGGCCTGTTGTGCCTGTCCTGGCTTTCCCCCGAATACCTTGGTCCATACCAACAGCCACCCAGAGGCCGTGGCTCCTGCTTGTTTTTACCTCCCATCTGTATTCTGGTCATGCTGTTAATGAAGTCATCCCTTTTCCAAAGTGAAAAGGGAGGGGAGGAGCAGATAATTCTAGTATAAAGATAGCAAGTTGGTTGAAGGTTTAAGAATAACTTTTATCCTCGCTTCTGCTTTCAGTGAGGAATGAGAGGAGATTCATCTCATTCTTGGTGTGGATTTTCAATGAAGGAGGAAATACAGAGATTAGTGGCATGGAAAGGGAGAGTTACCTTTTCGATACCTTTCCTGTTGAGGCACTATCTCCTGCTACCTTCTGAATCAGTTTAGTTTTAGCATTAAAGGGGGTGTATAAATGTCCCAAAACATTTGTAGAGTGGCCTTGACTGTGGATGCACGGGCCGTCCTTTTTTATTTAAGGCTCTATAACTAGAAAATCCTGAGGAGCACATCCTTAAGGGCGGCACTGTTTCAGGTAGCACTTAGTTCCCATCGACTCCTATGGGACATATGTACTTGTTTACAGATGAGCACATGTAAATGTTGCCCTGAATTGAAATCATGCAAAGTGGGGTCCTCTTAGTACATAGGCTGTGAACAGAACTCACGATGCCCAAGGCGTAGTTCAGAGACAACAGAACAGTTCTGGAGGTAGAAACAAACTCATCTGCTGTCTAATTCCTAGATAATGATAAAATGGTATGCAGTGATTGGATGAGAAGAAAAATTGATATTCTGTTGTCTGCAATATGTTTATATTAAAATCAATGCATACATTTTCTGGACTTTGAGTGCAGGAAGGTTTCAATAAGCCCTTTTAATTAAATTGCAAAATAATTTAATAAAAGCTGTGGCACTTTTCTTCAGTTCTGTGTGGTAAAACTATCTGAATCCTTTAAAAAAAAAATCCTCTCAGAACTTTTATTTTTGATAAACAGGAGCAATTGCTTGTTCTTTCAACTTGTAGAGACAATGGATTTTATGCTGAGAGCTGGTGAGTAATTTACTCCCATTAAGACTTGACTGTCATTTTCAAATGCGTGAATTTTAATGATAACTAGAAATTTTGCTTTAGTAAGGTTCTTGGATGTAGCATGTCTGACTGCGTTAGTCATTCAGGGTTCAATGCATTTGGCAGAATATTTAGATTTACTGAATTAGGGCTAGAGTAAAAGCAGTAGGGAAGTCCTTTTATTGTCTTTGGAACTTGTTGGAGGGCCTGGAGGGGGCACTTTAAGGAGAAATTTGGGCTAGAAACTTCAGTGTACTAGTATCTGATCCCACAGCGAGAGAGAGGATGGTGGCCCCAAAAATTAAGGAGCTGGTTTTGTTGATGGGTGGTTCTTCATTCATCCCATATAAGATGTGAGGAGAGGAAGTTCTCTGAATGAAAATTTTATTTATAGGTATTTCCTAAGGGACTGGGCTAGATGCATCAGAGTGGTCTTGTGTCCTCCCTATAAGAAAGACTAGCTGCTGTATGGAAAGAAGTGAATATACCCCTGTGTATACATGTGAGAACTAAATTTACCACTGATGGAGTAGAGGGAGTAGGGGTTGGCTTATGCCTTGATGCGTTAAGGTTGCTCTCTCTGTTAAAGTATCCCACTTACCCTGTAACTTGTTCTCCCAGTCTAACTTGTATGCTCTTGAGCTCAAATGTGGTAATCATTATTTTATCATATGGCAAGGAGTTCCCTCAGTTACTGCTCCTACAATTTTGTAAGAGTCTGATTTTAGGACGTTTCTCAGGCATTGAGGATTGTATCTGAATCTGTCCTTGGTAACAGCAGGCAAGAATTTAATGTAAGAGCAATTTGAAAAAAGATTCCTTATGTAAATCTGTTAGGTAAATCATCTTAGTCAAGTGCAAGGAGAAGGATTATAAGTTATAAAACTAATTGTTTGTCAGAAATGTACTTTAACTGTTCTTAGGCTGTGTCAATATGCTATCAGAGATTCAGTGTCTGGGATTCCATAATGCCAACTTAAAAATATTGCCAAACTTTTATAATAAAATTAGCAATCGCCATTTGACTCAGAGTCAATTTGGGGGGGAAGGGGGGGGGGAGACAATTTGGGAGACATCCGGTCTCTGGGTTTCAGGAATGTTGTCTTTGTTCTGTTTCCTAGGCTTATCTTTTTGTACAGTTCCTTCTATTCTTTGACTTGTTTGTGGGCATGTGTATGTCTGTATTATCGCTACAGTATGTCTACTGGGCCATTTTATGCAAACTGGTTTGGGTTTTGGTTTTCTACATGAGTAAAGAGGAATCGGTGATTGCAATCTTTGCTGTGATGTATATTGAGATGTAGGATGAAAAGTGCTACTCTTGGGATCGCTCTTGTAGGCTCAGTGTGATGGGTGGGGGAGGATTCCTAGAATCTTAATTCAAACCTTTTCCTTTGTGAAACTACAGAGCAAATATTCTTTGAAGATAGGTGCCCTGATGGTCTTTAGTTAATTGGTAATATCAGTTTTATTGCTTATTCTCTCCTGCTATTTTAGATTAAGTGTTCAATTTAATGTAGCTTGTATAATGACGGAGATCCTTATCTAATGCCTTTACTTCAAGGATTTCAAAACATGTTATAAATATTATTGAATAATGTCTTGGGCTCCCTCAAACTTTAAACATTGCTCCCATTTCATGGATAGGGAAAGTTATTCCAAAGGGCTCAGTGACTGCTCAGAGACCACAGAGCTGATAAGAGCCAGGGGCTAGCGTGCTATGATCCTAACTCCTCTTTCTCTGATTGCTGGAATGGTGTATGACAGGAAAGGACTGCAGAGAAGACAGATTGCTAGTGCATAACATGTGAAGTAGAAAGAATGGTTTAAAACATGGTCAATGAAGAAACGTATTAAAAGGCATTCTGGTAAGCCCGAATGTGTTAAAAGCCTTGCTCTGTGTCATATAGGCAGAGAGGATGGGTTTGCCCAGCACTTGCTGAACAGCTCTTGAATTCAAGCTGTGCTAGCCTGGTG